TTCCGTTTAATAACGTTTTTTAAAAACGTTTTCAAAAACGTTTTCCATCCCTGGTCGGAATACAAAAAAAACCCAGAAAATAAAATGAACAAAATAAATATTATAGAATGTGGACTGATGAGTTTGTATATCGATAGGAATTACTAAAAACTTTCTAGGATTTCATTTTCTGGAAAATTATGGTTTACACTCTACATAGTACATACACTTTTAGACTTTCTGTAAAACAACTTTCTTAAATTGTAGTTACCAATTTCGGGTTTTTGACTTTCTGGAATTTAAACTTTGTTTATAATATTCAATATGAAAAGAATTCTGGAACGTTAACTTACAGTTATTTTGTTTCCTATAATTTTATTTTCGTAGCTGGTTGGAAAATTCTAGGTTTCACGGGCTAAACCTAGGTTTTCCCAGTATTCATACCATAACATTTATTGATTTATGTTACACCATTCAAATATTCAATATATATCTATTTTAATATAAGCTCTACATTATAGTCATGATACGATTGTACGTAAAATCTATTTTGCTAATACACATTTTGTAAGAACGGTAAGTTCAATGTATACATTATAGACATCACCTTTTATATTACAAAACTCTATAAATGTCTAGTTATATCTAACGTGTACAAGCCCGGATTAAGGGGGGCAGGGTGGCAAGGTCCCGGGGCCCATCTTTATCCCCAAAATATATTTTTTTAACGCGTCCAATACAGTTTAAATATATATTATATATATATAGTTTAAGTTTAGATGGGCGGAGTGGAGTGGTATGGGGTTACCCCGCAAAATGTTTATCCACTACACCGCCCATCTAAACTTAAAATACTTATAACTCATAAACTACTCGTCCTAAGTTCGATTTTTATGTATCAAAATACTAAGAAAAATATTCTACTTTGGAATATGAAATTAAAACTCTATGCTGTCATTCAAAAAAGTAAAAAAACTTAAAAAAATATAAGGATAAAAAATATTTAAAAATATAATTTTTTAATGAAAACGTTGTTTTTTTAACAACTTGAAATTATGTAAAAAAATATTTTCAAAAACATTAATAATTTTTGAGATAATGAGTGTTTTACGCTTAATGAATCACCATGTTTATATATATATTTAAGTAGGTAGGTAGTAGGTAAATTATTGTTACTTAATAAATAATAATTATAAAATAAAGTTGTTCTCAATTTTATATCACGAAAAATTACTATAAATAATGAACTGCGTCGGTGAATACAATTTTGATTATGTTTTTTTTTACTGAGCATTTTCGATTACTGATTTGACTATTTAAGTATATATATATAGGTAGTTAAGCTAACCTCAGAAGCTCAAACTTCATTTCATAACAATCTTCTTCCAGAATATATTCGTCATATAATAGTAGAAAAACGCAGATCTAGAGCTATTTTTCAACGTACTCGTTTTCCTTCTCATAAGCACAAATACAATAAATTAACAAATCATCTTAAAAAAGTTCTGGCAAAACATAAATCTGAGACCTTCACTAATTTTCTTTCCAAACTCTCACCAAAAGATAGCAATCTTTGGAGAGCGACTAAAAATATTTGTAAATTGAAACCTCTAACTTGCCAATTAAAAATCCTGACGGAAGTTATGTCACCTCTGACACTGATAAAGCTGAACTTTTTAAAGTACATCTATCTGATATTTTTCAACCTCACCCTGATATTTACTCTCAAACCAATACCTACTAGTGTTGTGGAAGATTTTCTTAACTCTCCACCGTTCTTGCCATCTAATCCTATTAAACATTTCACACCTAACGATATAAAATTTGCCATAAATAAATATTCCCTTAAGAAATCTCCAGGTTTTGACCTGATTACTGCTGAAGTAGCTAGGTATCTACCTAATAAAGCCTTTATCCATCTTTCACATATTTTTAATTCCATTATTAGACTATCATACTTTCCCATGCTGTGGAAATTTTCTATCATCATCCTAGTGCCCAAGCGGCCAAGCCTAAAAGCCACCTGACTCAATAACCTCTTTTCGACCTATAAGTTTACTCCCTTTTTCGCTAAAATTCTAGAGAAACTTATATTAAAACGTATCCTTCCATCTTTTACTGAAAAATCCATCCTTCCTGATACACAATTCGGTTTTCGCTCTTCTCACTCTACACCGTCCAACAGGTTCACAGAGTTGTGGACGCCATTTCTTATTCACTAGAGAAAAAACTATACCTACTGTACAAGCGCATTTCTGGATATCGCTCAGGCCTTTGATAGGGTATGGCATGATGGCCTCCTGTAAAAATTAAAAAAGTTTCTTCATCCTACATACTTCACTATTATTAAGTCGTATCTCTCCGATCGCCACTTTCAAGTTCGTGTCGGTGATGAATTTTCTTTCATAGGAAATATATCAGCTGGTGTCCCGCAAGGTGGTATCCTCTCCCCTACCCTCTACAATATATTTGCCTCAGACCAACCAACGACACCTAATACACTAACTTCCGATTATGCAGACGATAAGGCAATCTTATCGATACACTCTGATCCCGTCATAGGTTCTCAAAATCTCCAATCTCACGGAGAAGTGGTACACCGACTGGAGATTTAAAATAAGTCAAACCAAATCGGTTCATGCGACGTTCACCCTTAAACTCACCCCTTGCCCTGATGTCTTTATTTATAATACTCTGATTCCCAGTGCTTCGAATGTTAAATATCTTGGCTTGACCATTGATAAAAGACTGAACTGGGCCCAGCATATTAAGTCCAAAAAAATTAATCTAAACTTACGCCTACGACTACTAAAAAACCTCATCAACAATAATAAATATACTCACATCAATACCAAATTACTAACCTATAAAATATCACTACTAAAGCCTGTTTGGACATATGGCCTACAGCTTTGGGGAAACGCGAAAAAAACTAACATTTCAAAACATCGCAAATTAGTTAATGCCCCTCCCTATGTCTCTAACCACACTATACACACAGACCTTAAAATGCCGTCAGTCTCTGAAGAAGCTAAAGCATATTATATAAACGTTTCCATTTCCACACTTTAGCCCATCCCAATCCTCTTGTCAGAAATCTTGCCAATCCTACTATCCCTGGTAACCCGCCGAGACGGTTGAAACGGAAATGGTGTCGTGATCTATTGCTACCTAATATTAATATAAATATTAATTGAAAAAAAAAAAAACTGAAAATATAAAAAAAATAATTTTAAAAAATGTAAGGCAAATTGGAGTGTTACTAATGGGTGGCTGCTTTCCTCAAAAATTTTTCACGTATTATGTACAAATATTATTAAGGATATGATGTATTTTTTTTTAATTATTTGTATATGACTAATCTCATTCACATCTACTTATTGTGCCATGTGGTATAGATCGTAGATTGCATTTAAAAAAAAAAAGGTAGTTATAAGAAAAAAATATTTAGCTCTTGGAAATTAGGTATTTCAGTTAAAATTATTATTAATGATTATTATTATTATTAATGCATATTACACTAAACTTTCGAAGACCATAGTTAATAACTAATAATAAGTAATAACCACAGACTTCTATACTACACTAGATAAGGAACTCTTATACAATGTACATTGTTACAAGTGAAGCTCAGCTGTGAACGGCCGCCATTTTCTCGGTTGGCAAAACATTTCATTTATTATACAAAATGTATTAGGAATAATATTTTTTTTAACGGTCAAATAAAATAGTAAATGTAAAATGACTTATATAAAATATTTTTTTTTTTTTGTAAACTTAATGTTTAAAAATAATAAAATACGATATAAAATAAATCATAATATCATCTTATTTGTCATATGAAATACCATACAATTGCCAACCGACCTTGAAGCTTCAATTCATGACCGGAGTTCGCTATCTAGTAATATATAGAAATCTGTGGTAATAACCTAGCAAATTAAAATTGATCATTTGACTGTCAATGTTCAGACGAAAAGTTTTAACAGAATCCATGAAAAAATATAGTTGGAGGTACCATTTGAAAAAAATAAAGTCGATTTTATTATTAATACAAATGCGTGTTCAAAAATTTTGAAAATGTTATAAAAAATGCCTGTTAAAAATAAAGAAACTCATTTTTTTGTTTTAACGAAATTCCATATTATCGATCCATAATTGTTAAAAAAAACCCACATACTATGAGATTGACATAAGATACACTTTGTGTATTTTTTGCATAGTAAAAAAATTATACAATGATATAAAGTCGTTAATATGTAATAATACAATTATTTGAAGTTAAAAGTTGAAAGGAGGCCCACTAAGTGTATGGTGTCCCCGGCCCGATTGATCCTTAATCCGGGCTTGAACGTGTAACTCCCAGGCCACAATACAGTACTTAAACTTTAAGTTTTAACCATAATTTAATATATGGTATTATATGTACTTTACCAGATTTTCCAAAAAATTGAATGCAGTTAAACAATAAAAAAAAAATGTTTATTTGTTACAGAAAATATTTCATCAAATTTGCTGAGATAACCAATTATATCAACTCATGCTAATAAATTCCTGGACGAATTAACAATATAACTAACACAAATTAAAATTACACTTAACTAAACAATGAATTAATTATTTACTTATTATGGAAACAATACATCAAATTAAAAAGTTTTCATTTAAAAAATAAAGTTTAAGTAAATTTAATCATTAAAATAAAGTTTAAAAATATAATGTAAGTTATCAAATACATTAATGTTATTACATCTAATTACTATTCAATCATAAAATACAATTTATTATAAAATCATGAAAAAATTGTGTTTATATTTATATAGGATTTGTATTTGTATTAAGTTAGAATTAACAAAACTTAATAAAAAAGTATAATATATATTTTATATTATAAATATGTCAAAATATAATTTAACTTATTAAAACTAAATTATGCATAAGGGAAGGGTGTTCTGACATCGATAACACCTACAAAACTCATAGAGCATATTATGCATCATTATTTATAGATACAATAGAGTTTAAGTTTCTGGTGCGGATTTTTTTAGTTTTTTCTTTTTAATTTCTAATGCTATTTGTCTCCTGAATTTTTCCATGTGTTGTTGTGAAAAATTTAATGGAGCCCCTCTAGATAAATATTCAGCGTACACGCAAACAAATACTCCACAATCCCAAGTATTCAACTGTTGAGGGCAGTTTTTCACATTCATTAGTAACCACCCACTTGGATGAAAATCTTCTCCTTTTTTGTCATCATGTTCCAACATCAAATATTTCAATATTAATTTTAAGCATTTAAAATTACGTCCACCCATGCTGTCATAATATTTAATGGATTTTTGTGGAAAGCTAACATACACTAAACACCAGTGATCTTCAATATGAATAGGTATAAACAATTTTTTCATTGAGAATATATCAACTTTTTTCGTCCAACGACGAACATGCGAGTATCCCTTGTCAGATAGAGCTAGGTAAAAAAAAGTATTAAACCCATAAACTGTGTCGGGTGAACGTTGTGTGATTAGATCCATATATTCGTTTATAACTTCATCATTATAAAAAAGATGACTGTTGTCAACCTCCTCAGGTTCATAATCATCATTTTCAATAGGTTCCAAATAATATGCAGTGTGCCGAGCCTAAAATCATAAAACTGGTTAATATAAAAAAAAACATGTTTCATATATTTTTAAACTAAGTAAAGTAATTAATAATAGGCACCTAACAAATTGATTAATACATGATCATTTTCAATACTACACCACATTGTGTATTTATCTATGATTCAAACAACTACAGTGTGTTTACCACTAATGTATATAGATACTATCTTTAATCGTGCCACGGACTAAGATATATCTTAATTTTTTGTTTGGCAGTAATCACACTGTAATTTACTACTTTGTTTATTTTCTCGCTCACTCTATATCGTACTCCTGAATTCTCTCTCTAAGTGCTGTCCATTAGTTTATAGGTCTATGCATAATCCCATATCACTAAAGATCATATTTAGCACTAAAAACTACCACTGTCACAAAAAGTACACTATTTATTATTGTTTTATGATTGTATTACCCATAATACATTGCGCATTGAACCGTACTAAAATGCATCACCTACACTACGCATTAGACAACTTTTTGTAAAATAACCTACATATGTATAATTTAAATACAACAACGCACCTTAGTTAACGGCTTATTAGGTTAACCGTCATAGTCCCGGTCCCGACAGTGACGGTTAATCGAGTTTCTACTCTAATACTTAACCTGAATAATATTTCATATTTTTGTATAGGTATTTATGTTCAGCGAGTATTTGTAAACAAAGAATACCCTATAATTCAATACCTTGTATATATTTTTAAATTCGGTTAGGTATGTATGTCTTGCAAACCAAATTCAAATATATGCAGAAAGAACTGAGCACAATTAAATCTTTAATCGAGGTACTGAGTGACAGTGTTCCATGTGTCCGTACACACGGTATATAAAGCCGCGTATGCATGTGCGAGCCTAACATACCGCGAACCGCTCGCGAACCAATAGCTCGCAAACCGTTCGCGCCGATCCATCGATAGTCGGTTTTTTCCACGAACACTTCGCGAGCGGTTCGCGGTAGGTTCGGCTCGCACATGTATACGCGGCTTAATAATATAGCATGTAAAAAGACCCAATGTTAATCTTCTATATACTATATATTAAAGTTAATTTACTTTTAACTTAATTTTAGTTCTTTATCTAGTCTATAAATGTACATGGGGATTATGTATTTTTTTGTAGCAAAGTAATTAAATACTTAAATAAAATGTGCAAATAACAGTTGTCCCAAAAATCCAACATACTTATATACATATCTTATAATATAATATATTGTTAAGTTAAATAAAAAAATTGAAAAGAATTATAGGTAGGTAATACCTCGGATAATACAGAGCATTTGAAACCCATCAAAACGCCCCTAAAAACTTAAAAACTTGAATAATAATTTTTAAAGTTTAAGTCTAACCTTTAAGTTTGTATAAACTTAAGATTGGGAACAAATGATTTTTTTCAGTAGGTAGGTACACCACTATTATAGCTCAACAAACTTAAGTATATAAGCAACAGATGATTAATATTCATAACTAATTATAATTACCATTATATGTCAACTTTCCATTCAGTGTTCGCTGGAGAAAAATAATCATAAAAGCAGCCACAAATGGTATATCCTAAAATCAAATAATACAATACTATAATAGTTATAGGTACATGAAAGCATTTGAAAAGCCTCAAAATTAAATTTGAAATAATTAAATTAAAATGTAACATAACATCATATTTTACCTTTTAGACATTTATCTTTTAACTATGACGCACACTGTGCAAAGGCAAACGGCAAGTTAGACAAGTTAGTAATAACTAATAAGCAATTGGTAGTTGGTATGGTGGTGCAGACGTGAAATTCCTAATTATTCCTGAAAAATATTATTACTATTTGCTATCAAAGTATACCATGTTGAATATTGAATGTTCCTATCATGGTCCATACTCCATGTGGTCATTTTGTAAAAGGAAGAGGCACAGATATATTATAAAAATTTTATTTTTTCATGATCATTCCCGAAATCCCGAACATGAACTAAGATATTTTTGTTACCCTAACCTACATGAACTAAGATATTTTAGTTCATGCTCCCGCCTCCCGTATGATAACTAAGCACAAATGTCCTATCCATTCCTTAGACCTTAATATCTATGGTGGGAAGAGGTGAAGCCACTGAACTATATGATAACTGGAATGCTCACCAAGCAGTGTTGCCCGAAAGGGAATGTTAGAAAGAGATGGAACATACTAATGGTGTTACTATTGTTACAAGTCGGTTGACCGTTTCATAACACTATCTTTGTCTTACACACGGCGCTAATATCTTAAATTAATTTTCCGCGTTCCGCGATATAATTTAAGACTTTAGTTTGGTTTTTAAAACTTGGCATCTCGTTATTTTTTAATTTCCACAAATTCTTTATGATTAAATTAATAGAATATAAATAATTTAACGATAAGTAAATAGTTTATTAGAAGATAATTATAATTTATAATACCTATAACAAGTATTGAAATATGCTTTTCTTGTGGACTCCTACATTTGTTATATAAATGTAAAGGAAGTTGCGGGGATTTGTATGTTGGGAATAAAATAACAAGTAAAAATTTAAAGTTAGGAGGTTTTAATTCATAATTATAAGCATATAAAATAACAAAAAAATGATTTTTATTGAAAATTTTTGGTATTTATAATATTATTCATAATTGAAAGAAAAGTTACTTACCCAACTTACCTGATGCTATACCTACAACTTACCTCAATTATTTTTCTTACTACTTTCCTAACTTAAGTTAATATTGTAGATTTAAAATCTAGCTACGATTACTACTGGAAAGATCCAGTAAACAAAATCTTCAATAGATTTTTGTTATACTTCTTGTCCAAAATGTCCTAAAATAAATAATCATTTAAAGATACTATGACTTATAACTTATAAGAAATTGTAGATACTTTAACTATAGTCATAACCTTGAGTTATATAATCTATTAACCTAACTTAGTAACTTATGTTGAATTGACTTCAGCTTTCAGCTAGATATTTTTCCTGTAATAACAATAGAACTATAAATTAATAAAAATGTTTTATTTAAAATAAACTAGCAAAATATTCAACTGTATAAGAAATAATAATAATAATAAGAGTATAAATAAGCAGTAGTGTTAAAATAAAAGCATACAATGAAAATAATTATTAATTATAAAATAAATCAAGCTCAATTCAAATTTAAATATATTTAACATGAACAAATTGTGACAATGACAAAAGCGTGGTTAAAGTCGTTGAAACATATTATGTGTGATAAAAAAAGACAGCAGCGCCTTATTTGTTGTCTTTTTCTAACACGCTATCTCTGTTATCTTTACATTAGCCTTATCATAGAACCTAGTCTAACCTAACCTAACCTAACCTAACCTGGTCTTATGGCGGATGAGCATTCCAGTTATCATATAGTTCAATGGGCGAAGCAAGGTTTATAGATAATAGATAATATTATAAGCTTTGAGCACGGACTAAGATATATCTTAGTCCGTGGCCTTGAGATAATACAACAACTATTTATGCCTATATAATATCTTGTTCTGTGAAAATCTATATCAGAATATATCCTTATTTATCTCAATGATATTAGAGGGTATCACTGCTTCAATATTCTCCCCTAGCGTGGCACGCCTGTTAGGGCGTTGGTCACGCTTCCCAGCCATCGGATGGTCCACGATTCATGAATATGTAGAGAAATCACGGACAATCTCAATGTTGAATGTATCAGATATCTTAGACCATGAGAGAAATCGACTTCTCTTCACCATGGTCTATGTGATGCCGGGATGATAATGGGCAATGGCACAGAACAATACTGGGTGATTCTTTTATCAAACAACACTCATTATTTCAAAAAGTGTAAATTTTTTTGAAAATATTTTTTTACATAGTTTCAAGTCGCTTATAAAACAACGTTTTTATTAAAAAATTATATTTTTAAATATTTTTTATCCTTATAATTTTTTAAGTTTTTTACTTTTTTGAATAACAACATAGGGTTTTAATTTTATATTCCAAAGCAGAATAGTTTTCTCAGTATTTTGATACATGAAAATCGAATTTGGGTTGAGCAGTTTATGAGTTATAAGCAGGGCTCGTAAGTTCATGCATCTGCATGTTTTTTTTGCCACACAGGAAAACATGCTAACTGAGATACAAATCCGTTTCATAACAATAGTAATAATAATATGAAGTTTGATAGTGCATGTTTTTGCATGTTTTGGGTGTAAAGTCATATTTGGCATATAGTTGATTTTTTACAGTCGTTAGTGCATATTATTTCATAAAAATATTTTTTAGACAAATATTTGAAAAGTTTCTTCCGGTTTTTGATATCTTGTTCCAATCGTCCAATATCGCATGGTAAATTATAACGGTTTTTTAAATTTTTTATTGAATAATTATTTAGCTAATTAATAAAAATATCGAAAATCAGGCTTCTTACGATTGTAAAAAAAGTTCTACTTTACAATTTTTATAATAGGTATTTTTACTGTAAACCACTTCAATAAGCCGTATTACTTGAATTACGAAACCATGGTTTTATGCCATATTTTGTCTACTTATGCGCCCTCTTGTTGGAAAACATAAAAAAAACACTTATAAAATATATATTACTAAATTATCTCAAAATGAAAAACCTAATATTTCATTCCAAATGTTTTCATTGCTGGTGCTGAATAAGGGTGTACACAAATTAGACAAAATTGACTACCTAATTAAAATTTATAAAGATGACAAAGCTATTTGAACTTCACAAGTATTAATTTTATTTTTTATTTTATTAATTTTGACTGTTAAATATATAAAAATTAGGAGGAATAAAATACTTTTAAAATGTATGGATTTATTCTTATTATTTTAAAATTTGGTCATGTTTTTTTTACATAATGCATATTTTGAGTGCATAATTTAAAAATGTTAATGCATATAAATGCATATTTTTGAACTTTTAAGTGCATATTTTAATGCATATTTTGACAATTTTTAGTGCATGAATGCATGCTTATTTATGCATTTTTTAGTGCATGAAGTTACGAGCCCTGGTTATAAGTATTTAAAGTTTTGACGAGCGGAGTGGAGTGGTTCGGGGTTACCCCGCGAAATGTTTGTCCACTTCACCGCTCGTCAAAACTTTAAATACTTATAACTCATAAACTGCTCAACCCAAATTCGATTTTAATGTATCAAAATACTAAGAAAAATATTCTACTTTAGATTATAAAATTAAAATTATATGTTGTCATTCAAAAAAGTAAAAAACTTAAAAAATTATAAGGATAAAAAATAATTAAAAAAATAATTTTTTAATAAAAACGTTGTTTTATAAGCGACTTGAAACTATGTAAAAAAATATCTTCAAAAAAATTTACACTTTTTGAAATAATGAGTGTTGTTTGATAAAAGAATCACCCAGTATATTATGATATGGTCGTGGTTAAAGAACAGTGTAATAGTCAAACTATGAACTATGAAGCTGATAAAAAAGACAAATTTAATACTATAGTGCGTTTCATTAGAGCTGCGACTCGACACTAACGCGCTTCGTGGCGGTTTTGTCTCAAACTAGGATCGAAAAAATTTGTAAAATATTCGTTATCAATTTTAAATTTGCCACTCTAAAGTCTATAGGCTTTAAGCCCCGTCCACACCAAAGAAAATTTTGTCGGAAACAAGTGTTTCCAACATTGTCATCGACAATGTTTCCGATTTCCGCTCATAAGCGGAACATAAAGATTTGTTGACGACAATGTCAGAAACATATGTTTCCTACAAATGTTTCTTGGTCTGGACTGGGATTTAGAAACCCCAATGGAAAACAAAGACCTTCTACGGGATGTCTATGATGGAAAACACCACGAGGCGTGATTACTCCGGATATTATCACGATCACAATCTAATCAAATTGTAGCGAAGTATAAACATAAATCAATATGATTTTTTCAATAGTTTTAATTTCAGGCAATAAGTTTTCATGTTGGAACGACCCATTACACATGGATACATTGGTAAACGGAAAAAAAGTCCCCGGAAAAAACGTACCCGTTAATAAAATCAAATAAAAAAAAATTGTACTTTCATCAATTGTTAAATTTTAATTTTATTTGAAAAATTATTCAAGTAATTAGTAATTATTACTTTCACACAAGTTTTTCTCATTAAGGCCCCAATAGTCCATACAAAATAAGGTTACGATGGTATTCAATTACATTCAATTACGAAATAAATATTATATAAATAATATTTTTACTTTATCTAATAGCCAATAGGTAGGTACGAGGTACCTATGGGTGAGTGCGAAAAAACCATCACTTATCTGTACACATGGTATCTTACGATTATAAAAATAACATAATTTAATGTTTGTCGATCGATAAGTTAACTGTTTTTATGTTATTAGTCTGTTCGTTGTTAGTTGTTACATGTAGTTCGTTTAGTGCTAAGTGATCAATAATGGAATTATTGAAATCGAATAAAAATAACGAAAAAGTTGCTTTAAACGGTTATATC